TTTCCTGCCTTAATGTTGTGCCATCTGCCCTTAGGTTACAATAGACTATTTGTATGCTAAAGGTGTTGCACAGCACCCTACACTGTTTCACATCTTCCAAGAAGAACATTTAATATGTTCTGGACCTCCAACATCCTATGTTCTGCTACATCACTCTAGGTTGCAATTATGAAGCTGAGTTGGGTATAAGGGTAGCTTGTGTTGTGTCAATTCATGTATTTGTGGCTGTGAGGCGTTATAAAATGGAGACCACAGCAGAAGACAGGAATGAAAATTTGTTTCTGTAAAAGAGTAAAAGGGGAATATCAAAATTTAAACAGGAAATGAAAGAACCTATGGCACCAGGCATCAAGGAAGTTTGCTAGTTTAACCTACCTTTTTTAAACCATCATTTGCTTTATAATAGCTCACAAGTAATAATGTTTACATCTCTGCCCTCCAAAGCTTCATTTAGTAATTAATGCAAATCACTTTGCTAACATGAAACACAAAAACAAAATAGACCATTGTAAGGTCATTTGGCAGCTCCAGGATGACATGCTTCTGCCATTACATTAAAAGAAAAGCAATGTATCTCCCATCTTGTTCTAGCTAAAATAAGTAAGGTACTAGAAACATTAAAAGCTGACAATAAAATATGCATGCTGACCAAACACAGGAAAATGAGTAGAGCAGTGTTTCTCAACCTTGGCCATTTTATGATGTGTGAATAAAGTTGAGAAACCCTGGAGTAGAGTCTTAATTAACAAAACAGTGAAATCCTTTGTATACTGTGAAGTGAACCCTATAGAGTTCAGTGGCAGCTTCTTCAGCTGAAGAGAGGACCTGATTGACCTCATGGTACAAAGGTGGCTGCAGGCTCAGTGGCACTATTGGAGATCCACTCTCAAATGTTGCTGTTTCCTCAACAGAAAGAACATTGTACCACACGAGTACCGGAAACACTTTCCCATCCAGATGAAAGACCACAATTCTCATGATGTGCTCCTTCTCTGCACTGCGTGTCATGCGCTCTCTAACTACTATGATAATCATCTCAAGCAACAACTGGCAGAAGAATTCGGTGCCCCTATTGGTTGTGAGGAGGGCGTTCGCTTGCTCGAAGATCCCACCCGCAGATTAGTCCGTTCAGCAGCTAGAGCACTTGTGAATGCAGATAGCCTGCCTGCTGCCAGGAAGGAAGAGCTATTGCAGCTGATCAGGGATTACTTTGCATCTGACACAGTTTCCCCAGAGATGGTGCAGGAAGCAGCTGGACTGGAAACCAGGTACAATGTCTTAGAGTAAGGGTTGATTAGATTTAGATTAAGATGCATGATTATTGCCTGCTTTTTTGCAATGTTTTCCAGGTTTCTGCTTACTGGGCCCAATTATCCAACTTTGGAAAATGCTAGTGGGAAGGAGAGCAGGGTTTGGCTTGAGGAATTTGTTCTAGAATTTGGCCTGCAGTAATGAGTGGAATTCCCAGGGAAAAGTGAGAAACTTAATCTGAAGTAAAAAGTAGGTTCAGATCTTGAAGAAGATAAAAAAGACATACCATGCTAGTGGTATCAAGTATGGACTTGACTTTCTCTCTTAGATCTTCAAACAGTAAAGTAATACCCTCCTATCCTTCCATTTTAATAACTATTGACGAGAACAGTTGCAGCATGGTTGGTTCTAGCCAATGAGCCAGGTGGCCAAATCTCTTCTGAAGGCATTTTGTTCCATTCGTCTTGCCATCTGATGTTCTGGCAGCCCCAACGCATTTGGTTCTCATTGAGCTGTTTGGGGATTTCCCTTCTAGGAAATCCTTCCTTGGAAGTTTTTGTTTATTTATTGTACTTCTGTAAATATTTGGGTTTCCACCTTCTTGACAATTCCTTTTTCTGTGGGAATCCTGCTATTTAGCTGTATAAAAAATCATGTTGGGATAAGCATATATGTGTTGCACTTCCAGGTATCCGGTTGCTGTGATATCTGAAAGGTTCCAGATTAGAGGATGCTGTCCATCTTCATCTAACATCAGATTGATTTGCCATGACCTTCCTAGTGGGATGATGGCCTTTGGAAAATGCTCAGTGTTGTTTTTTTTAATATAAGTTTTATTAATTTTTTTAAAATTACAATCTTTCGAGCTTAGTAAACAACATGTTGTTTGGGTTCACATAATTAACATTAACTTCTTCAATATAAATCTATTCAGTACTGCACAATCCAGTATTTTTTCTTTGATCTTCCTTTCTTCCCATATTTTTCCCTTTTCCCCTCATTAAACAATTACAATTCTTATTACTGTTGATGTATACAAATTAGATATAGACATCTTCATCATATTTTACTAATATTATAGAAATAACAATAATATCAATTCATAAGTCAATATCCTGTTTTTGTGCTCTTATTGAAGTTTGATTTCCCATCAATATTTAAAATATCTTTGTCAGTTATGATTTTCTCAATATTAATTACATTTATATAGCTAAAAATTGTATTCGTATCAATCCTCCTCTTATTTTCAAATTTCCCATATCAAAAGAAGAAGAAAAAGTGCTATTTTAATTCTAAATCATATATTATAAAAGTCTAATTATATCTAAGGGTCATCTGTTCTTTTAATCATATTCAAACAGGTATGTTAAACAGATAGTGCCCCCTGTGATAGATCAAATCCTCTGTTTTTTAAATTTAACTCTTGCTTTCTTTGCCAAGCAACTTTCCTTCTTTGCCAAGCAGCTTTCCAGACCAAGGCAATTAAATCATCCAAGAATGTAATTTCTATTTTTGTGAAAGCTACTTGGCATGAGAAAGACAATATTTAGGTAGAGTATTTGGGGGGGGGAATTCCACCCATCCACATTCCCTAGACCAGTGGTGGCGAACCTATGGCACAGGTGCCAGAGGCGGCACTCAGAGCCCTCTCTGTGGGCACGCGCGCCGTTGCCCCAGTCCTAGGCCTTCAACTGGGTTTTATAAAACTTTTTCGCTTTAGGCCTCCGCCGCCGTGTGCAAAAAAAAAAAAGGTTCAATCAATCAGTCAATTTCAACTTCTCGCGGGAAAAAAAAGATCTTGCAAAGTTGGAATTGATTGAACTTTTTAGTCCCACCCAGTCTTCCGTTACCATCACAGCCAAGCCCACCCAATGGCTCACGCCCACCCAATTGGCCACACCCAGCCAATGGGCCACACCCACCCGGCACCCGACGATGCATAAGTGGGTTTTGGGTTGCAGTTTGGGCACTCGGTCTCTAAAAGGTTCGCCATAACTGCCCTAGACATTTCCCCTGCCCGCTCTATGTTCCATTTTTCAGAATCTTCTTTCTTGTCATCAAGTGTATTTTGGAGAAAGGAGTAAAGGGTCTTTTGTATTTTCATTGTTATAGGTAGGTCTTGCAGTATTTTATTTGTGTATGACAGTCCATATTTCCCTTCTCCTATCTCCTCCATCTCTAGATCCATTTCTTCTGTTTCACCCTCTGATTTCTGGTTTATTTGTTCATACTTTGTAGTCATTGTCTGGGAGCTTTCCAGTTGTAGCTTCAATTTGAAGAGTTGGGCCTTTATATCATCTAGGTTATTTTATGGTTTCTTTTTATGTCCTCTTTGTATACAACAATTGTTTGATGAATTTACTGTAGCATAGAAAGTATTTGCTACTGAAAGGTATTTGTTTTTTCTTAAGGCATCATTCCTAGAAATCCTCTAGTATCACCAGTCTCAGTAAGAATGGAACAAAATTTCCTCTAATTTTCTGATCTTTGTATATAGCCTTTATAATCCAGTCCTAATAGCAATATTTTATAGTAATCCTTTGTCTCAAGTATCCTGAAAATTATCAGTCGGGCCAGGTTGTAATACAAAATGTCCAAGTGTTCAAAATGTTCAACCTCCCTGCAGCCAGACGTATTTAAAAAGTCAAATTTTTCTTTCTCTCCCACTAGTTCTTGAGATTAAAAGTCCAAGCTCAGTAGTATTCATAGTCCAAGAGGGTCAGGATGATAAATATGCCAAAATATTTTCCTTTATTGCCAGCTATTGTCCAAGCTGAAAGTCACCAAGCAGCCAAGGAGCTGTACTCAAATCCACCACTAGATGTCATTCAAAGTCCATTTTCCACTCTTAAAATAAAGGGTTGATTTCTTATATTTCACCTCAATAATTTCTTTTCCCAAAGAGAAAATCTTAACAATTATCTCAGTTCTCAGATTTATCAAAACTGTAGCTTTGTATTACTTTCACTTCAATATTGTGTATTTCTGTGCCCCATAAAAATTTAAAATGCCACTTCCATTCACATCTGGAGGTTTTAAGCTTCTTGGGAGCCTTTCCCAGGAAATTCAGTTGCAAAATAGTAAAGAAAGGATCAATATTCTCATCCAGTCCAAACATGCTGTTTACAAGTGCTAATGAAAGCTTTTGTTCTTCGGTTGTCAGCAGTTAATGGCCGGCCGCAGAGGGGTGGCCAGTCTTTCCCCTGCTGGTTTAGAGGGCTTTTCTTGGATTGAACGGAGAGACCGCCGTCTCTCCGTGATCGACAAGGCACCCCTCCTTCTTCATCGGGGTGACTTTAAGCCCTTTTTAGGACCCCCAGCAAGGCAAAATCGGGCACAGAAGGCAGAGCTCTGCCTTCCTGCGCCCTATCTTGCTGCAACGCAAAACTGGAAGTCTGAAAATGCTCAGTGTTTTTATTAGAGATGCTCCTCCCTTTCATTTCACTTCCTCACCACTTAGTAAATAGGATTGGTGTCTATAATGCTCTCGACACTATAAAGCCCATTTTGAAGTGGTAGAATGAATGAATGAATGAATGAATGAATGAATGAATGAATGAAGGAAGGAAGGAAGGAAGGAAGGAAAGAAAGAAAGAAAGAAAGAAAGAAAGAAAGAAAGAAAGAAAGAAAGAAAGAAAGAAAGAAAGAAAGAAAGAAAGAAAGAAAGAAAGAAAGAAAGAAAGTTTGGTATCCAAAACACTTCCTTTGTTCATCTTTTTTTTCAGGATTTTTAATGAGAACTATGTGCCACATGGCCTGAAAGTGGTCCAGTCTTTTGCTCAAGGGGGCTTATATTCTCTCATGGGGCTGGAGAAACGTTGGCGCCAGCACTTCTTGGATGTCATGCAGCCCAAGCATCTCCCAGCACAATGGTCTGTTGATCACAATCACGACAAGTTAATCCGGAAATATGGGGAGACTCTCCAGATTGAACTTTCCTGAAGATGAAATGATGAAACTGGAAAATATAACTGAGATTTATTATTTTCGCTCCCCCTTATGTTGGGATTAAGAAGATTCCACCAAGACAGTTACATTGTGTAGAAAATTTCACCAGCGTTGCCAGTTAAAACTATTTTAAACTAAAAAGTGGTTTTAAGTCTTTTTAATTGTTTTGAATTACAATTTGAATGTTTGTTCTGTAAAGACCACCATAGCCATATGTTCTTAGGAAAGGCCTCTATACATATGTGGATCACTTCCAGCCTTTCAGATGTTCCTTCTGAAGTGCAGTACTACACTTGCCATTTGTCATCATTGGGCATGGACACAGAAGACTGCATGAAATATCTGGAGGCTAACCCTAAACACCCCCCCCCCCCCAGTATCATCCCATTTTCCAGTCACATTTGAAGAAGATGTTTTGCTACAGCGGGATAGATGTATGTATGTTACATTCCATTCCCGGGACTGCGGTCTTGGGATATCTCAAGGCAGCATGAAGATCCCCTATATTATCTATCTCTGATCCTCTACAAAATAAAATTGAAACTTAAATTTGTGTTGGTGGCTGCTTCTGATAGGATTTTTACTACTGGGATGAAAAAGTTAGTTTTTATTGAGGTGCTGAATCCAGCTGGGCATTTACAACGTTTTAAGTAGATGCCCATATCATAGAATGTGATGGCTGAGAGTATGACTTTTGACTGTTTACTAAGCTAGTGGAAACTGACTAAGTGGCTAAGATTCCCTGTAATACCAGTGCTGTGACTTCTAAGTTGAATTCATGCCCCTCTTGACTGGTTTGGTCTGTGAAGAAGATGAGATTATTTGGATGCAAGAGATGGTGATGGCTTTTTTGAGAGAGCTTCTGTTGGTTCTAGGCTTGAAAAAGGCAATCCAGCCTTATTTGACACTACTGTGTTCTTTTCCAACTTCTCCTAGCTTCAGAGGATCATAGTTGAACCATATTATCCAGATCCCATTTACTCTGGATTCAGACCTGTCAGAGGACAGACCTAACATTGTGTCAAATTCTTAACAGGAGAATACTAGCCCCTCAAAAAATAAGATTCATGAATATCATTAGCTAAATTTATTCTGAAGACGGTAGAGGTCTAATATAGAGAATCTTAGGAATCGAATAAACCCCAAATATAGCATTTATTTAATAGTGAATTTATTTATTTATTATTAGTGAATTCATTTGGGCGAAGTCTCTAAATTTCTAAGAGCCACATGAATCTCTTATTTCCAGAATGCCAGGCTGAAGATCCTTTGAGCTTCCTCCCCTTTCTTGGAGAAAGGGGAGAATTCACATCTAGTCATTTTGGTGGAGGTTTTATTTAAAGGATAGGAATGCAAGAAGTCTTCTTGTAGTACTGTATTATACAGGTAATATATTCAGCAACTATCTTCATAATCTCTTGTAGTTGCTACAGTGATGAAAAAATAACTTTATGACCAATCTTAGCATTTATGACTTTCACAGGTGTGTAAAGGAAAGGAAAGGTGAAACAAGATCATAAACCATAGCTGCAGTTTCACTTAATGACCATTTTGCTTGATGATTGCGCTACCAGTCCCAATTGTGGTTGCTAAACAAAGAACTATCTATTTATCCTTCTTGGTCTTGTTAGACTTTTCATGGTATCTTGCTGGGGATGGGAGTTGCAGGCATCATTTTCTGTTCATTCTGTTCCTTCCTTAAGTGGATGTCAGTAATGGTGGGGGGAGGAAAATCAAGCTGGTAGGTTAGGGAAGAGGTCCACAACCCTCGGTTCACAGCCCGTTATGAGTCTGTGATCTGTTGGGAACTGGGCCACTGCTGGTCCACGGAGCTGGTAAGGTTGGTGACTGCTGGATTAGGGGATGGTTAGGGGATGGTGGTGCTAGGACTCAGGAATGGGCTGTAGTACCATGTTTCCCCAAAAATAAGACCTGGTCTTATATTTTTTTTTGGCACCAAAAAATGCATTAGGGCTTATTTTCAGGGAATGTCTTATTTTTTGGCGTGTGGATTTGTCCCATGCGCCCTGCACCCGCTTACCTCAGGGCCCCCGAATCCAGGCCATCCCCGCTCGGTGACCTCCCCCCATCTCTTCCCTTTCACTCCCCTCCCGAGCCGGACTGCCATGCTATTGAGTATGGGTCTTACCTGGCCCCCCTCCGCTGTTTCGGAGCTGCGTCTGCTGCTGGAGGGGCTTTCTTCAGTCCCTGCTGCTCCCGCTTTGCCCCATAGATCATCTTTCTGGTGGCAGTTGCCGACTCCTTCTCCTCCGCCAACTCTCTCTTGGCTTGCACCATATACCAGGGGCGCAAGCCTCCCCTTCCACCTCCCTCCGCCAGCCCTGGTATCCCTCTGCTAGCCCTCCATTGCCACCACACACTTTTTTGATGCCCTTCTCCCTTCTGGAAATGGTAGCCCCATTTTCTGCCACTTTCCTCCTGGAAGAAGGGAGGAAAGGAAGGACGCTGTGTAGGGAAGGATGCGACGTCAGCTCCAAGAAACCTAAGCCAACTGGAGCTGAGCGAGGAAAGCCAGGCTCCTGTTCCCCAGTGGTTCTACAAAGCCCTTGGGGAGCGGCTCGCTTATTTTGGGGGGGGTAGGGCTTATATTAGGCACATACGTAAAAATCAGGCTAGGGTTTATTTTCGGGATAGTTCTTATTTTTGGGAAAACACGGTACTAAGGAATATCCTTGCTCTGGGTTAGCACTTTTACAAGGAGTCAAGACTATTTTTGGAACAGGAATTTGGGCGTTAGGTCTCTTAGTGTTCAACAGATTGGCTGTCTCTCTCTATTCTAAATGGACTATTTTTATTGATTTTTTTTTGTTGGTTTTGATATTTAGTCTAAATTGTCATAAGTTAGGTGGGTGGTATAAAAGTGCTTATAATATACAAATAATGAATAAATAAGTTAGTTACTAATGATTGCATCATTCACGCTCAGACACTTGCAGATAAATCAGTATGGCAAGGAAAACTTATTAGGAGCCCTTTGTTGGAGATCCAATTTTCTATATGCTACTGGATTTTTTTTTTTAAAGTAGTATTGCTTTTGGCCACATAAATCCCAATTTGTTATCTGATGATAATGGCTATTCACTGTTTAAACACCCAGGCATCTCTTGAAGTGTTGATGAAGACAAAGTTCAATTGAAAATTATAATTAGATACATGGAAAATACAGAGATGCCTCTGTTCCTCACAAACAGATATTCAGCTGCTGTCAAAAGCCCTGAGAGGAACGCCATGTGTGCAAGCAATTGGGAGAGATCATATTGGAAGCTTATGACAATACTATAATGGGTTTGTGAGCGATCTAGCCTTTTTAAATACAAATTTAGTGCTTCTGGGTCTTGAAGCTTACCAGAATTGTACTGACATTTGATCTGATGAAATGCTGTGTGAAATATTTGATTTTTTTCTAAAGGAAGAGAAAAAAAAATCCACAAAGAAATTCTTTGAGAAAGTTACTTTGTAGTGTGGGTGCAGGAGATGGTAGTGGGAGGTGGTGTAAATCTACTATTCTTCACACTCAATAAACATTGTAAGGTCTAATGTAGATATCCTGCTTTTTAAAAATGTGCTTCATTTGTTCAGATTTCAGTCATCATTAATATTTTTAAGTGTCTTAATGTTATTTTTAAATTAAAGCTTTAAAAACTATACACTTACTGGTTTATTTTTTTCCCTTTGACTGGATCCATCACTAACCAATTTGGATGAAAAAAAAGCTTTTCTTGAAAAGACACCACTACATCCACAGTTGCTCTAGGTTTTTAGGATGGATAAAACTGTTTTACCTCAAAATATATTCATGTACCACTTCATCTATATCTCTTTTCAAAGCCAAGAACAATAACAAAGGGTTTATTCTCGCACAGACAATATTAGAAGCACAATATTTTTTCCCCAGTTCCTTTTTCATAGCATTCTTCCTCTGCTTATCTGAATGTTGATTTTGGTTTACCTCCAAAATGAAAATTTCTGGTTTCATCTTGTTGCTAAATCAATCAGCCACTAGATGGCAGAATCCTACAATGAATGCAAAGAAAAATCCAGACACGAAGGGAAGAGAGCATCGTTCTCTGGTTTTGGATAACAGAATAATAAGAGTTGGAAAGGACCTTGAAGGTCTTTTGGTCCTGCTCAAGCAGGAGACCCTATATCAGTGGTGGCGAACCTATGGCACGCGTGCCAGAGGTGGCACTCAGAGCCCTCTCTGTGGGCATGTGCACCATCGCACCAGCCCCACCTCCCCCCGCGGCCCCCTCCTCACCAGCAGCCCCCCCAGAGGAGAGTTGCCCCCGAGCACGGTCCACGCAGAGCAGCACAGCCAAGGGCATGGCAGCCAGGCAGCGGGGACAAGACTCTGCCCTCGCACCTTGTCACACGCAGATGATGCTGCGGGGCATGGGCAGAGGTGTGGCCGCCATGGTGCTGCTTGGCTGCCTGGGCGATCTGCTGCGGTGGGCCGTGGAGGCGGTGGGTGGCCATGCGGGTGGGCTGGGTGCAGAGCGGGGGTGGGCGGGGAGGTGGGGGCGGTTTTGGGGCACTTGATCTCTAAAAGGTTCGCTATCACTGCCTATATCATTTCAGACAAATTTTGAGACAACTATGACCTGGATGACTGAGACTTTCCACAGACATCGGCTGTCCAATCTCTTCTTAAAAACCTCCAGTGATGGAGCACCCACAACTTCTGGAGGCAAGTCGTTCCACTGGTTAATTGTTCTCATCTTTAAGAAAATTCTCCTTAGTGCTAGGTTGCTATTCTCCTTGATTAGTTTCCATCATTGCTTCTTGTCTTGCCTTCTGGTACTTTGGAGAATAGCATGACTCCTTATTCGTTGTGGCAACTCCTGAGATATTGGAACACTGCTATCATGTTATCCCTAGTTCCTCTTTTCATCAGACTAGACATACCAATTCCTACAACTCATGGGAGCCTCTGTTTCTCCTGCATGGCTCAGAAAGACAGACTTAGAAGCTTTTCTAACTGATGATGATGATGATGATGATGAT